AATACTTTTAAAGCGTGCCACGAACCCATGTGACCGCAGGGGGGTGATAAAGAATTACAATAAACTAAGTAGGTTTATATATTTCGAGCTTGTAAAGCGCGTCACGAACCCATGTAGCACCTCGTTTCGCATAGAAAGTGTATGCGTGAACTATTTCGACATATATATTAGTTATTTATGCCTTTCAATACTCAAAATAGCTGCTATATTTTCCAAACTTTTTTTGTTAATAATCTTTAACGAATAGCAAGCGACGGCTAAAACCTTCTGAAGGTCACTCGGGGTCATGACCTTGACGACATATATCAAGGTCATTGAAATTAGTGAGGTCGCCCTTAATCTTAACATTTACCAAACTTATGAAGCAATATCACAATGTTGGCATGTTATTTTAATAATGTATGTAATATTGCGATTAGGCACGAGGAAAAAGCGGGCCTCTGTTCACATTTGACGTTCACGATGATATTCGTGTTATGCACAATGCTTCTGTCGAAACCGAGGAATCACATGCCGAAAAAGTTTTACTTAGGTATTTATCACAATTAAAGGAATACTTTGTATAATTCTCTTTTATGTTATTTTAGATCATGGTACGAGAGGAACAAACACATTTTTCCAGCGAATAGATGGGATCCAAACGAAAACCTTTTGATCCAAACGAAAAGTTACGACAAGTATACAGTGTCGGATAAAAATAGGAAGAAAGATAAAATCTGATAAACTTAGATTCAACGAATTCTCCAATTTCGTCGTTTAAAAGATTCAGATTCAAAAGACTGTAAATATTATAACCAGAGAAATAACTTTGTTTTATCGCACAATTGATGAGATTCATTATAAAATAGATTGTAATATATTGTTGCGCCGCGCTCCGCTATCACTGGTCACTCGCGTTTGCGCCGCGCACTCCCGGACTCACGTGAGGGAAAGAGAACACTCGTTTATCAAAATAAGGGACTCAGGTTTATTCGAGATCTTTGTACAGAAAAGCGTATCTGAAAATACAGAAGGAGAACTCGTCTAAACGTTCTGAGTCTCCCCGTAAATCTGACAGTCGTCGTGAAATCAATAAATCAATAATCCGTAGTCAAGGGACGCGCTTCAACACGAAGCTTTCGCAGAGCGATCAGCGGAGCCAAGTTCAGCCCACAAACGGGTGTCCAGCACGGGCGCAACACTGCCCTCCCTTTTCAAGATTGTCGTCCCGACAATCCAGAAGGGCAGTGAACAGGTGGTATTTGTTCCCGGGATTCTGTGACGGACTCCTGCCCTACCCCTAGCTGCTGCTGCGGGTTACCGGGCTCCGTCTTCTTAAGTTCCTTTTTCCAGGAAGCTCGGTCCTCTTGACCTCTTCCTCCTTGGGTCTCCTGTCTTGGCTTTTCCCGAGGGAGAGCTGGCCAGGCTGGTCCCTCTTGCCGGTTTCAGGACGACTCTTCTTAGAACACCGCTAATATTCTGGTTCAGCGTGGACCCCTCTTTGTTTCCGGCGTTGACTCCTCTTCTAAATCTTTGGACATGGGGGGGGGGGGAACTTCCGTGGACCCTGCGTCTTGCAAGACTCCCCAGTCCCCGCCTCGACATTCGCCCTACGTCCCACGGGAAAACCACGGTCAAAAACCGTGGGCGAGGCGGTTTTCTTATTTAAATGACGAAAAGAGTTAAGATGGGACTACGCCGTCAGTCCTCTTTAAACACTTTTTCGGATCGAAAGTCCTTCTTGACTAACTGTAAAAACAAGCATCAAACGCAGTAACAAGAACAATAACAAAACAAGTTTTTACTAAATTTAATTCCTATTTCCCTACATTCCTAGTCCGGGCTCCGACCTACTCCACTTTCCTGATTGAATAAGGAGCTAGTCTATCAGCATGCACTATTTTCTTTTTCCGAGTAGGCGACCTTTGTATGACAGTAAATAACATCGCTAAGCTTTTTTACCACGGTAAAGGGTCCTTCCCAATTGCCCTGTAACTTCGGGGCTTTTCCTTTCTTCCTACGAGGGTTGAAGAACCAAACCTTTTGACATGGTTCAAAAAGAGTTTGCCTGGCACTCCGATCGTACCAGGTCTTTACTTGCGAAGATTTGACATTTATTCGTTCCCTAACACTAAAATGAATTTCTTCAAGCTTTTTTTTTAAATTCCCAATATAATTTTCAACTAATTGGAACTTCTCCGGATTCGGTGGTCTCCCTTGGCGCAAATCGACAGATAATCTCAGATCTCGGGCAAAGTATAGTTCCGCGGGAGTTACGCCAGTAGACTCGTGTTTAGAAGACCTATAAGCGAGCAAAAACATGGGTACCCAACGGTCCCAACCTCTTTGATTCTTAGAGATATACTTCGCTAAATAATTTGTAATGGTCTGATGTTGGCGCTTAGCCTGACCATCTAATTGAGGATGCAAAGCCGTGGTCCTCGTTTTCTTTATTCCGAGAAGAACCATTAATTCAGCGAAGAGTTTAGATTCGAAGTTCTTTCCCTGATCCGTGTGGACCTCCTCAGGAACTCCGTGCCTAAAAACAAACTGGCTAACAAAAACATCCGCCACAGTCTTTGCCCTGATATTTTTAAGTGGAAAAACTTCCAACCATTTTGTAAAACAATTTACAACAACCAAGAGATATTTATTCCCAAAATAAGTCGTCGGGAGGGGACCAAGAATGTCCATTTGTACTCTTACAAGCGGATCCCCGACGTTAAAAATTTGAAGAGGAGACTTTTTCTTCCCTGCAGGGCCCTTCTTGACTACGCAGATGTCGCAAGACTTGCACCAATTTTCGACATCTTGCTTGCAAGTTGCCCAATAGAAACGTTTCCGGATCTTTTCTAAAGTTTTGTTTACCCCGAAATGTCCGCCCGAAGAGGAATCGTGGGATCCTTCCAGAATTTCTTTCACGCGTTTCCGAGGAACAACAGGCTGAAGAAAGCTTGACTTTAAATTGGGAGCCTCCTACCTCCTATAAAGAACTCCATCTTTGAGGATAAGTGCGTCTCAATAAGTCCAATAAATTCGGGCAGAAACACCCCTAGCGATAATCTCGGAGCGCGGAGGACGCTCTCCCGTCTCCCTGGCTCGAAGAAAGATAGCGACGTCAGGATCTTCTTCCTGATCTCTACTCCAGCTCTCAAAACTTTCCCCTCCGAAAACTATGCGAGCGACAGACTTAACTTGCCCTTCGGCATTCTTCTTTTCCACCCTGGCACAGTACTCACAACCGGACATCTCACATTGTCGTCTAGACAATCCGTCGGCATTCTTGTGGGTCTGCCCTTTCCGATATAAAATCTCGAATTCGTATTGCTGGAGTCTTTTCAGCCAACGAGCCAATTGCCCTTCGAGTCCCCTGAAAGACATTAACCACCTTAAAGAAGCGTGATCCGTGCGGATCAAAAATTTCCGTCCCAAGAGATAATGACGAAACGACTTTATAGAATCCACAATAGCTAAAAGTTCCCGTTGGGTTACGCAATAATTGCGTTCCAACTTGGAAAGCACCCGACTAAAATAGGCAATTATCCTTTCCTTCCCTTCCTGTATTTGCGAAAGTACCGCGCCGATGCCAACATTAGAGGCATCGGTATCTAGAATAAATCCACCATCCCCCTTAGGAAAAGTAAAAACCGGGGTAAAAAATAAAGCCCGTTTTAATTCCTTAAAAACCTTTTGGCATTCCTCTCCCCAAACAAATTTGGAACCATTTTCCGTCAAGGAGTACAAAGGTTTTGCCAAGGAAGAGAATCCCTTCACAAATTTGCGGTAATAAGAACAAAATCCTAAGAAACTTTGCAATTGCTTCTTATTATGTGGGACTAGAGTGGCTCTTATTTACTCTTGGTAAATTTTGGGGGATTTTTTTTTGCGCTACCCTCCAGTTTGGTTCCATTTTATGAAAAAAAAAATCTGTGTCAAATTTCAGCTCAATCGGATGAAGGGAAAGGGTGCCCCCAGGATCTTGAAAATCGAAAAAATCATACAATTACAGAAAAAAACAATTTTATTTGTTTATCTTGCGAAGTATTAATTATATGCAAAAAAATGTTATACAAAAGTTGTAGATTTATTAAAAATGCGCATATTATTATCTATCATTTTTTCTCGTACGACTAACGATTTTCGAGAAAAAGTAATGCCACGAATCAAGCTACTCCAGTACAGTAATTACAGTATAGTTAGTCTGTTAGTAAATTTAGTTTGCGTATTATAGGTATATTTTCGTATAAGTACTAAACTTGTCGCTGTCGCTATCGCTATCGCTATCGCCTATTGTGCAAGGGGCTTAATGCTTGCACGTGAGCAGATGTTCGTCTCAAGGACAACAGTTCTCTCTCGGAATTTGGACGAGTGAAAACAAAGTTTCATGTCACAATGTCTTCTGTTCGTTTACGTGAGAAAATTTATTTACTCGGATATTACTCGCATGATATAACTGGAAGTAAATTGCCATCAAATAAACAAGTGTTAAATGTATTATTTTTCAATATTCGTGTGGTGAAGTTAACTTTACGTGAAAGTGCCAGACTAGCTTTGCAGGAAGTAATGATTTTTTGGGAAAAAGCACGAATTCCAACTCGGGAAATAAAAAACTGCATCCCAAAATTAGAAGCTTTGTACCAAGAATGGAGGCAACTACAAAAACACGCTGGGAGATTACGGGAGGCTGATAAGAAAAAAGAAGCAGATTTTAAATTAAAACTGGAGGATCTTTTTGACATTGCACATGCTAACGCTTTGGACTTGATTACTATTGAAGAAGATAAGCAGTTTTTGATTAATCAAAGGTTAAAAGGACGGCCAGGATTCATGTACGGAATCGATTACGAAGAACTTGAAAGAGAAAGAAGAGCTGTGGAACGAGAAGAGACAACCTTGGCGAGAAAAAAGCGAAGCGATCGTGAAACTGAACAACTAAGTGAGTAATGTATAAAAAAAACTTTCAATCATTCAATACTGATAATTTTTGCACATTTCTGTTGTTTTATTTGATTTCGTATCATTGAATCTCTTCTTTTTGTTTTTAAGAGCAAACTGTCGAATTGATGTCGTCACAGACATCGACAACTTCAAGCAGCAGTTTAGAATCAGGTATCAATGTAGTACCAGTTGCTGGCAAATTCACTGATAATATTGTCGTACAACGTCCTCTCCCAGAAGATATGGAAATTGTATTACCAGAAGCAAAAAGGAAGAGAGGACGCCGTAAAATAATGACTACTAAGCTTGCTGCGGCCTTAGATAAATGTAGAATTAGTGACAGGGATGCAGTTCATATTTTGATTGCTACTACCGAGGCATTGGGTCATGATGTTCAGGATTTTGTTATCAACAGGTCATCCATTCACATTTATAGAGAAAAAATACGCGAAGAAAGAGCAGCTGAAATTAAGAAGCACTTCAAGGACGCCAAATTGCAAGCTGCTGTCGTGCATTGGGATGGTAAATTACTTCCAGCCTTAACAGGTAAAGAGACTGTGGACAGACTTCCTGTGATTCTTTCGAATAACGATACTGAGCAACTTCTTGGAGTGCCCGGATTGCAATCTGGAACTGGAAAACAGCAGGCATCTGCTGTTTGTGAAACTCTTGCTGAATGGGGTCTTCAGAATTATGTTAAAGCATTAGTTTTCGATACGACAGCAACGAATACTGGAAGATTTAGCGGTGCGTGCGTTTTAATAGAAAATTTTTTAGAAAAAGATCTTTTGTATTTACCTTGTAGACATCATATATATGAAATCATTCTTAGAAGCGTTTTCGAGGAAAAGATGGGTAAAACTACAGGTCCGAATGTATTAATCTTTAAAAAATTTCAAAACGCTTGGTCTGGAATCAATGTTCATAATTTCCGATCCGGGATTGAAAACAAAAAGGTCAAGGGACACTTGAATCAGGGCGATATAACTCGAATTCTTGATTTTGTTAGAAATACTTTAAGGGAACAGCAACCTAGAGAGGATTATAAGGAATTCTTAGAATTAACAGCAATTTTCCTTGGCGAAGCACCACCTCGTGGAATATCTTTCCGTGTTCCGGGGGCCATCCATCATGCGAGGTGGATGGCCAAAGCGATTTATTGCTTGAAAATCTTTCTGTTTCGTGGTGAATTTATATTATCACTACAAGAAGAAAATGCGATCTGTGATATTTGTATCTTTCTTGTCAGTGTGTATGTCGAAGCATGGTTTTGTGCGCCTTCTGCAATCAAAGCACCGTATCTGGATTTCAGGGTTCTTTCGAAACTTTTTGAATATCAAGCTGTTGATCGTGGTATCTCTCATGTTGCTTTACAAAAACTAAGCAATCATTTATGGTATTTGAGCCCTGAAGTTGTCGCATTAGCTTTCTTTGATACAAATTTATCATTTGAATCAAAAATAAAAATGGTCAATGCTTTGAATCGCGAAACAGAATCATTAAACAAAAATAAGAAGCGAATAAAAGTACAAATCGATAAAATCCCAGAAATTATTAACAACGGAATTGAACAATTTGTTTCCACCGAAACTAGAAAATTTTTCAAAAGATTTGACTTGAATGATGAATTCCTTAAGACAGAACCGTTGACGTGGCATAAAAATGAAAGTTTTGTAAAAGGTCTGGAATTATTAAATAAATTGAGAGTTGTAAATGATTCGGCTGAGAGAGGGGTCAAGCTTATGGAAGATTATAATAAATTATTTACGAAAAATGAGCAACAGAAACAGTATGTGCTTCAGATTGTAAGTGATTACCGCCGAAAGTTTCCAGGTTATAAAAAAGAGACTTTATCTCAGCCGCTCAGCGTCAAGATTTGTACTAAAAAGAAGTGATTTTCACATTTTTCTCGGAAATAGTTAGTCGTACGAGAAAAAGTAATAGATAATAATATGCGCATTTTTAATAAATCTACAACTTTTGTATAACATTTTTTTGCATATAATTAATACTTCGCAAGATAAACAAATAAAATTGTTTTTTTCTGTGATTTTATGACTATTTCGATTTTCAAGATCCTGGGGGCACCCTTTCCTTTTATCCGATTGATCTGAAATTTAACACAGATTATTTTTTCATAAAATGGAACCAAACTGGGAGGTAGCACGAAGAAAATTCAAACCTTGAGAATAAGAGCCACCCTAATGTGGGACTGGCCAGTCTTTTACAGTGGAAACTTTTTCGGGATCCGTGGTCACACCTTCTGCTGAGATTATATGCCCCAGATATTTAACGTTTTTTTTAAAAAAACACATTTCTTCAAATTTATTTTCAAATTTACTTCCTGAAAACGTTGAAAAATCTTCAAGTTCTCAAGCATTTCCGAAAAACTTTTCCCGAAAATAATCACGTCATCCAGATAAACCAAACAAATTTTCCCCAGAAATTCTTTTAAAACCTTTTCCATTAAGCGCTGGAACGTCGCGGGAGCGTTGCACAAACCGAAAGGCATTACAGTGAACTGCCATAACCCGTTTCCGATAGAGAACGCGGTCTTCTCGCGGTCTTCGGGACGAATTTTGACCTGCCAGTACCCACTTTTTAAATCTAGGATAAAAAACCAACAGTTACCTGCGAGTTGATCGAAGATGTCATCAATTCTAGGGAGCGGAAAGGAATCTTTTTTTGTAACAGCATTTATCTCTCTATAGTCCACACAAAATCTTATCGTTCCGTCCTTCTTTTTTACCAGAACGACTGGTGAGACACAAGGGCTCTGGGATTCCTCAATTACTCCCCGCTTCCTCATATCCTCAATTATTTGATTTACTTCATCTCGCATTTGAATTGGAATGCGACGAGGGACCTGCTTAATTGGGGAGGAATTCTCCACATTTATGTTATGGTAAACAATATTACAATGGGGCAGGAATGCAACATTCTCATCAGAAAACACTTCTCTATGCTCATTCAAAAAGGCAAAGAAAACGTCCCTCCGAGTTTTATTAAGAGATTTTATTTACAGAATCTCTCTCATAGAATTCTTTTAAAAAGGAAGGTACTTTTTCAGCAGAGTTTACTACACGAAAACAATCGTAAACCCTCTTCTCCTCTTTAAATTCTGAATTTCCCAGAGAAGATTCGAAAATGTTTTTTAAATTTACCGTCTCGAGAAAATCTGCGCCCAACAAACATTCCTCACTAATCTTTGCCACAAACATGGGCATCTCCAGAGAATATTTCCCGATTTGAATTTTTACCAAGACTTTAGACTCAAATGGGACTTTTTCTCCCGTCGGATATCTAAGATTATGATCCGCTAATACAATTCTTTCTTTATTCTTCCCTATCAATCTACTACTTACAATTGAAACATCGGAGCCCGTGTCGATTTTAAATGAGCAACGTTTTCCGTCCAGAAAGCCATCGCAATAAAAATTTTTCTTATCTAACTTATTCTTATCTAACTTACAGCTAATAAAATGTTCAACAACCGGGGCATTTTTTGCATGGGTCGAACCCTCCCCGCCGAGCTCGACTAATTCACGTTTCCCTCCCCTGCTGGACATTCATACCGGAAATGCCCCGTTTTCCCACAAGTCCAGCATTCTTTTTTTCTGGCCGGCGCCAAACTGGCCGCCTCGCCGGTTTCCCTTTCCGACTATTTTCATCTCCCCCTCCTTTTCCTCATTATTCTCTTTACGCGCATCCTTTCCGTTCTTTCTTTCGAAAATATTATTATAAAGTTTTTTTCTCTTTTCGAAGCTATCTCCCTGTATGATTTTGACCACTTTCGCTCTCTCTATGGCAAATTTGAGAGAGGTAACCCCTTCCAGCTGAAAGGTTCTCCGTATGAAACCATTCGAAAGCGCAGAGATAAATTGGGAGCAAGCGATTTTATCGCGAACCGGAAAGGGACATTCGGGGTACGCTAATCGAGCTAATCTCTCTAAATCGGAACCAAGTTCGGCGAGATCTTCCCCAAACTTTTGTTTTCTATTGGTAAATAGCAAATAATAGTTCTGCGAGTGGAGCCCCTCACCAAAACGTAACTCGAGCTTCGACTTCAGCTCCACATAATCTAGATTTTCTAAATCCTGTACGTTTTCAAGGATGGAACGCGCCTTTCCTCTTAAACAAGAAGCTAGGATAATCGTTTTCGAAGCGTCACTCCACCCATTTGCCCGAGCGATCAGTTCAAACTGAGAGAAAAATTCACGTAATGGAATTGTCCCGTCATATGTGTCAGGCTTTAATTTAATATTCTGGCCCCACTCTGTTTCGCGACGTGGATCTTCCCCTCCGCAATTCACTACCGCGACTCGCGACCCCGAATCTGCGTGAGCTCTATTTACGGAAGGACTTAGCTGTGAGCGTTCCTGACGCTGAGGCTCCGTATCCCGCTGCCGCATCAACGCTGCCGCTGCGTGCTCCTCGCGGATCTGCCGCATCTCTTGCAGCATCGCCCGTACGATCTCTGCCTCCGCTGAGAGCTGAGGGGCGCTCGGGCCGGCTCGTTGAATCTCCGTCTCCGCCTCGAGCTGTGGGCCTCTCGGCCTCGGGGTCCCCATCCGCGCTCTCTTTCTCAACGTGGGAGCTGGTTCGGTGCTTGCCATCAAGTTCCGCTTGTCCGCTCTCGCTCGTCCTATCCCGGACGAACCGCCGAAATGATGCGCCGCGCTTCGCTATTACTGGTCACTCGCGTTCGCGCCGCACACTTCCGGACTCACGTGAGGGAAAGAGAACACTCGTTTATCAAAATAAGGAACTCAGGTTTATTCGAGATCTTTGTACAGAAAAGCGTATCTGAAGATACAGAAGGAGAACTCGTCCGAACGTTCCGAGTCTCCCCGTAAATCTGACAGTCTCGTCGTGAAATCAATAAATCAATATTTCGTAGTCAAGGGACGCGCTTCAGCACGAAGCTTCCGCGGAGCGGTGAGCGGACAGCGGAGCCAAGTTCAGCCCACAAACGGGTGTCCAGCACGGGCGCAACACTATATATATGTGTATTGTAGCTACATTGTATTTTTAAGGACTGTGATTTTTATTCATTCAGTTATGTGATAATATTTAATTCATTTACGCGATTATGTAGCTCTACTAAATAGTTAAGTTTTCGCAAACATTTGGAGGGAAAATAAAAATACATGAATAGTTTAATGACTTGAATAAATATAATAATTACAATATAAAAATACAAAACCATACTTTAATCCATTCCGATAACAATTAGAAACGTAATCTTTCTCCATTAGATTTTAATTTTCAATTAATTATTCAAATCTTTCTTCTTTTATCTATCTGACAAAATTTAGATTAATTTTTTACACTTTAAATAAAGATTAGACGCAGCCATTTCTTGTATTTTACATGAATTCTTACTATAATTATATAATTATAATATTGTAAATTTAATGGTTGCTGCGTGATCTTTAAGTTCTTTAAGAAAAAAAAAACTGGATTATGTAAAACTTTGACTAATTATAAAATAATGCATATATTACTCGCCATTCGTAAAATAGAGAATGTGTATGTAATATCTTTATCGAAATAATTATAAAATACAATAAAAAAATCAATCTATTAATTAATTAATTTTTTGTCCAACGAATAATAGCGCGCCACAATTGTGTTACGTGTATAGTAGACATTATATTTAATATTTATTAGGGGTATTCAAATAAGTTAGAGTTTAACGGTTTGACAGGTTATGTCGGGTTAAAGTCGGGTAAAAAGTTAATTTTTAAACTTTTAACCCAAAGATTAATGTGATAAGTTAGGTTAATGAGTTACTTATGTATTTTGCACAACCTTAAAGAGTAGCGCGCCCAAAGTTAATTAATTAACTTTTTACTCGACTTTAACCCGACATAACCTGTCAAACCGTTAAGCTTTAACTTATTTGAATACCCCTATTATTCTACATTTATATTGTTAAATTACTGTGTTACTTCATCCAGAAAATAAATTCTAATTTATAACTCAATCACACAATTGTAGTTATTAGCTTATTAATATAAAGATTAATACGCTAGTTTGTATGTAAAAAATTTAATATCATTAGAGAAGCTGATACATACAATTTGTTACAAAACAAAAATAAAAATATATTACATTTATTAAACCTTCATAAAAAATAAAATAAAAATCTTTATTTTTGGTACAGTAGAAGACGTCTACTTCGTTAGGCTGTCCCTTCTTATATCCGCTTACACTGATGCCAAGCCCTGTGGAACAGCATCAAAATAACAATTGTTAGAAATAATAGAAATATACCTACAATTGAATAATTATATAAATACATATTTTATCTTTTCAGTACAAACCAAGTTTGACAAGTTTGATTATCTTCTGTATTGTCCTTGTCCTCGTCCTCGTCTGCCCCAATTAATGTGTGCCGAGGACAATCGGTACAGGAACTGTATAAACCTATCCTGTTGCCTTCGTATTCCTGCGGCTCTACCTTTACCAGGTCTTCGAACTGTAAAAAAGTTTGAAATCAATCTGTAAAAAAGTAAGAAATCAATCTAAATTTTGTCAGATAGATAAAAGAAGAAAGATTTGAATAATTAATTGAAAATTAAAATCTAATAGAGAGAGATAACGTTTCTGATTGTTATCGGAATGAATTAAAGTATGGTTTTGTATTTTTATGTTGTAATTATTATATTTATTCAAGTCATTAAACTATTCATGTATTTTTATTTTCCCTTCAAATGTTTGCGAAAACAACTATTTAGTAGAGCTACATAATCGAGTAAATGAATTAAATATTATCACATAACTGAATGTTTATACCACGTGATTTGTCTCATTATTCTGTGCATAAAAGTATTAAGGTAACATTACCGCAAACTTAATGTTTTACAAGATATTTTGTATTTTATGTCAAAATACTAGAACTTTCAAGCCTTATAATTCCAAAAGTTCTTAATGAAAAAATACTTTCTTATAGTGTTTTGGAAAGCCCTCGAGATAAGCTACAAGAATATGTAATAAAAAGTAGGTGGTTTTATTTAAAAAATTGAAGGTGACCTTTACGTGACCTTCAAGCAACTATTCAAGGTGAAACTAATGACACCATCTTATGTACCCCTTGAAACCAAACAACTTTTGTCTGAAACAATTTTTCCAATCTTTTTTACTTTAAGAGATATTCAGCTGAATCACTTAAAATGATACACCCTGTATATATATATATATATATATATATATATATATATATATATATATATGTATATATAAATCTCTTAAGTGAAATAAAAAATACATTCAGAATAACTATTTTTGGGATTTTTTACAAGCGACAGCAGGAACGTCGATCTGCATATTACACGTAGCAAGACCCATAAGACGCGATAAAGAATTGTCGCTTAAACAAGAACGTTTTTCATTTTTGATAAGTTTCATTTTTGAGAAAGAAGTCTCACACAAATATGTAGATCCGAACATAGAATAAATTCGGAGTCCAAAATCTCGAAGCTTGGGGTAGGATAATTTCGATGAAATTTTATAAAAATCTGCACCGGTTTCTTTAACCGTTTTAAAATAAATATTATTTTGCAGATCACATAATTCATCCTGTAAATTAAGATGCTGTTTTTCGATTGGCGCTGTAAGAGGATTAATTCTGTTCGAAGTTTTTCGAAGCAGGTGAAACGCGTATCGAATTCTTCTATAACAGAATCTACGAAATGGATGTTTTCCTTGAAATTACAGCTACTGCCATGTTCTTCGAGAAGAATCTGGCAAGAAGGAAAGAAATGGAAAATGTTATTATTTAAATGAGATTTGAATAACTGTAATTTCCTTCGGAAAGAATCAACATGACTAACTAATTGGGAAATATTTTGATTTGGTTTTTGCAGCTTTAAATTGAGAAGCCTAAGTTGATTAGTCATGTCAGTAATAAAGGCAAGTTTGGAAAGAAATGTTATATCTTTTAAAACAGATATATATTCCTGAAATTTTGGATTGTTTATTTCTTGCAAGAAAAGGAGGATCTCTTTTCTTATTGCAAAAAATATTTCCAAACATATTGCAGCACTAAGCCAACGTACTTAACAATAAAGTGGGACATCTGTGTAGACAGCATTATGTTCTTGGAGAAATAATTGAAATTTTCGATGACTGAGGAACTTGTGTCCACCTTTAATTATATTAATGATTTTAGTAACAGTCTCCATAGCTGTTGACAATTTGATAACTTTGCCGCTTAGTGCTTCCTGATGAATTATACAATGTATAATAGGAATATTAAAATTTCGCTGCTTTAATTGGCCGGCGAATCCTATTTTTGAACCTACCATAGCTTTTGCGCCGTCAGTCGCAATCGAAGAACATTTATTGAAGTCTACGTCAAACTTTTTAAGCGAGTCTTCGACTGCTAAAAAAATATCAAGTCCGGTTGTTGTATCATGTAACGAGACAAAATCTAAGAGCTCCTCGACACATGAGAAATCGTCTTGCACGATTCAAATAAAAATACTCAACTGACTCGTATGTCGGATATCGGTGCTCATCCAAACACAAAGAAAAATACATACAGGACTTTAAAAAATTTTTTAATTTTTCTTTTATAGAATTACTGAAATCAGTAATTCTCGAAGTAATAGTTGTTGCATTGAGGGGAATACGCATTGCTTCGTCAAGCGTCAAGGAATTATCGAAAGCTTTCACTGCTTCGATGATACAGTTTTTCACGAAAGTACCTTCGGTAAATGGCTTCGAATTTTGTGCTATAAGCAAAGAAATAGCATAAAAGGCTAGTAGGGATTTTTGAGAGGAAGATTTAGAAGAAGATATTGCACCTTCTTGAAAAAATAACCATTCTTGATAAACTAATTTAAATCCTTTAATAATACTTAATTTTTCTGAATGTGAGTAATTCGAGTAATCGACTGAATGACTATTTATGAAATGCTTCTCTACTGTAAATTTTTTTTACTACCGAAAGTTCAAAACTGCAAAGTAAACAAACCGTATGATTGGAAATGTAACTGAAGAAATAATTAACATCCCAAGACTGATCAAATTCTTGAACATACCTTTTGTGATCCATCCTTAACCCTTAAAGCGCACACCTCCGAAAAATTACGTAAAGCGCACTGGGGGTATGAGATACCCCAGTGTCTTTAAGTATGTACTGTAACGACGCTATTGACTATTTTATTGCATAAAAATTTCTGAATGAAGTTAAAGTCATGTATTTTAAGGATAAACAAAAGTTATAGCGATTTCTTAAAATTAACATTGTTTAAAAAAAATTATTGAAAAAGACATTTTAATGGGACTTATCAGAGCACAAAGTTCGGAGTGGGGTATCCTACACCCCATGTGCGCTTAAGGGTTAAGATAGATTTGTTAAAAGAAGAACAAAACTTATTTTTTTCCACTGCAAACGACAGCAACTTCTATCAGCCGATGTGTCCACTACGACCGAGAGAGTTTAAATGACTCTCAGAAAGCAAAATTTTTTAAACAATTGATGATGGCGACTGTTAAGTAGGCGCGATCGCGCCGGTTGCGTTGGGTCTCTCGCGCCCACGTAACAGTTATTCAGAAAATAGTTATACTGAATGTATTTTTTATTTCACTTAAAAGATTTATATATATATGTGTATATATATATATACACATATAATTCTGCTTCTTCATTAATTAAAGTTCCAATTAATGAAATTTATGAAAGGGTTGTCTGTCTTCAGTGGATTAGGCCTACAGGGGATACCACTTAAAAAAAAACGCGTCAATAATAGTACCCCATGGGTGATGCGGAAAACTATTAACAAAACACTCGCGGGGTGCTGGTACGGTGATGCGGTCGCGAAACGGCATGGTCCTGAGCCTCGC